ATTATTATTATTATTATTATACCAGTATGGAGGCTTTTTGAAGACCCAGTGTCCCACCAGCATAAATGGTGCTGCTTTTGGACAGAACCATCCAGTACCAAATTTTTGGCTGAAGGAGCTTTGGTATTTGTAGAAGAAATCCTGTCAGAATAATAAAGGTATCCAACTCAGTTGGACAGGGAGATTTGCTCACCACAGGCTGCTTAAAAGAAAGCTGAGAGGGAGGAACAATTCATTAACCCAATGCAAATCTTGGTGCTTAGATTCTGTTAATTTTAATGAAGCTGGGACATGCAGAGCTCTCAGGTGATTTTGGGAATACTCCAGCCTTCGAGAGCAGACCGTGCTTCAGAACAGCACCAGGAAAGGGTAGAAGCTGTGTGCCATGGAGTTTATTATCACATTACTCTGTGCTAACGAAATATACACTAACTCATCTCGCAGCAGCTTTCGGCCTTCATCAGGTTCCTTCAGGAAATGTTCAAGCCTGTAAACCCATGAATAAATGGATCATCATCTGCCGAATCAGAGACCTGTGGTAAGACACTGAGGTCATTTGTGCGTGAGGTGGCTGGATGCTCAAGCCACTTCTCAAGCTTGATCAAGCATTTGCATCTCCAAATGGGCATCCAATTAGCTAACGAAGACGTGGCGACTGACTGCGGTAATTGGGGTTCTGTACCTACACGGAGAGCTGCCTTCAGTAGAGCGCAGCGTTTGCTCCTCCAGCCTTGTGCCCTATCTCAGCCCTGCCACTTATTTGTTGATGTGGAGAAAATATTCCTCGAGGGTTAAATAAATAAAAACCAAATAAAGCTGTGCTGTAACTGACCCACGTTCTTCCCACCAACACGTGGATGACGTTGTTTTGTCCCAAATCCCGTAACGGGGAGCCTGAGGAGAGGTTTCACAATCGCAAAGATGTGATTAGCGCCCAGGGCTTTGGGGAATAGAATTTCTTTTACCTTATCTTCCTATTTAGGGAAGAGGGGAGAGGAGGAGGTTGTTATATTTGGAAATAAAACATATGGCTCTGTCATTTTGCAGTCTTTTTAGATAATATTGTAGAGAAGAATTCTCTTTGTCTTCTTGCTTTCTCCTTCCCCCTCACTTCGACACAAGATATCCTTCAAGTGGGCAAAGATACTTGAGTGGGGAACAGAAAAGCAGTCCTGTTTTGTGCCTTGTTTCAGCCTACTCCCTTGTTGTTGAATTTAGTGAAGATTTTCACACTTCTGGTATATATTTTTTATTTTTTTTTCCAAACTGACAAGTTTTGGAGTCATAAATCAAGTCTTGGCCTCATTAAAATCAGTACCAAGATTCCCACCTTCCACAGATCAGGTCTGGGTGCTGGCACCCTCCTTAGGAGTTTGGGAAGTCCAATTTCTGCTTTTGTGTCCTCAGAAGAGAACGCGTGACCCGTAAATACCAGGCACAATGTGAAGAAATACATCCTATAAATACACACGGTAAATAACAACTGTGGGCACTGTGTGTTTTTCGGGGCTGCTGTGTACTTGCAGTTTGTAGACGTGTTGTAACCTACACCAGCAAGTCCCTCAGCGATGGCATAGACCCCCTATATACTTCACACATAAATGTTATGTGATACGACATTAAGAAAAGCAGGGGAAATGAAGGGTTTGGCTTCAAAGAAGGTGCCTGGGGGCAGTTCTCATTTAGTGGAGTCCTGGTTGAGGATGGAGCAGACCCAGCTCCAAGCTTTTCCTCTGCTGGAGAGGATTTGAAGACGCTGCTCTCCCTTCCCAGGAGGGTTTGCTGGGAACAGGCGATTCTGGGTGAGGATGGGGTCAGGTGAAGAAGGAGCTGGAGCAGACATAGATTAGATGGGAAAAACATAGTGTAAGCAGTGCTGAAAATACCCTATTTTTTGCTTTCAAGCTGCAGTTTGGAAAAGAAAACTGGAAGCCTTGCTTGTTTGTAATGTTCATGGTCACTCTTTAAAGAGAAGTTATCTGGATTTTGGATGATTTTGTCATCATGGAAGTTCGTATCTCTATTTTAAAGGTCTAGGTTTATTAGCACGTGTTTTAAGATGTAATACCTTTACATCCACAACATAAACTGTTGAGAGCTGTGCGAATGGCCTGTTTGTTAGGACACGCAGAACTGCTTAAGAAGTGCTGCTAAATTGATGTATTCTTGCTGTGAGTCTTCTCTCTGCCTCCAAATCAACCTCTTTTCAGAAAATTAACGAATACAGAGCAGGGCTGTACTAAACCAAACACTTTCCAGTTTTCAGGGATGACGTTTGGGCCGGGAATGGCTCCTTGCAGCGCAGTCTCAGTGGATTTTGGTGCCTGCCATCTGGAACTGCATCAGGACACGGAGTTGGCTGTGCAGCCGGCACTTTGCTCCCCTGCAGCCTCCACACTGGGTTCCCCAGTGTCACATTTATGGGATGTGGCCAGTACCATGTGTGTATTCATGCCCATCTAAATTGCTCTCGTCTCTCTGTTCTAATTGCAGGTCGTTAGACGGTCGGCTGCAAGTGTCCCACCGCAAAGGCCTTCCCCACGTGATCTACTGCCGCCTGTGGCGCTGGCCAGACCTTCATAGCCACCATGAGCTGCGTGCCATGGAGATGTGCGAGTACGCCTTCAACATGAAGAAGGATGAAGTCTGCGTGAATCCTTACCATTACCAAAGAGTGGAAACCCCAGGTACCGCCGGCCCCGCGCGCCGAAACCTCGGCTTCTCACCCCCAGCATGAGGGGGTTTAGAAGTGCATTTCAAAATTGAGGAAAGCAGCAGGCGTGGGGTTTTAAAACCAAAGCGTATCTATTATTGATGATAATCTCTTACTGTACACAGTAGAATAATTTATGAATCTGCACTCAGGGGGGAGATAGCATTTTAAAACGGTAAAATCCAAGTGGAGGAGGTTGCGTTGCTGCCAGGTTCCTGATGTGGCCCTGTGTGCATGTAAACAACTCGCACACGCAGCAGGTACAAGTACGAGCCATGGCAGTGTTCTGTGCATTCCTAATTGCTGGTGTTATATTGAGGATAAGCTTAAGTTGAAGTGGATCTCAGAATAGCTCCCACACAACCAAACTCCCTGCTCTGAAGCCTCCTCCTGCTCTGGAAAAGGCTCTCAGCTGAACTGCAGGGGGTTGTGCTGCATGTTGGTACAGCTCTGCAGAACCAGGCGGGATGTTTGTGCTAATCCCACCTTGCTGCTTCAGCTTAGGGGAAGTTTCTTCCTTTTGAATCATGTGGTACAGCTTCTCTTAAATGACTTTTCGAGAAGATCTGTTTGCAGACAGAGGAGGTGTGTTCAGAAAAGCATATATCCCATCACCAGCTGAGATCTGTTAGAGCAGCATCTCTAACTGCCGCTGTTATTTCAGAAGCAGCTATCAAATTGTGTCCCTTAATTAGCAACTTCGGTGCTGCGTGTATTTCAGGGTGTTCCTCCAAACTGGTTTCTCCTCATTTTTCTAGGGTTTCAGTCATTTTCTTTGAAAGCCAATAACATTGCTGTGCTATTTTTTTCCCTTCCCATTTGTGCAGTGTTACCTCCAGTGCTGGTGCCTCGGCACACCGAGATCCCGGCCGAGTTCCCACCGTTGGACGATTACAGCCACTCTATTCCCGAAAACACTAACTTCCCAGCAGGTATCGAGCCCCAGAGCAACTACATTCCAGGTACCGTATACGAAAGGGTCGCGTTGCACAGTGAATCATTTCTATGTGTGCAGAGCTGCGTGGCTGGAAACTCTTTCTTTCCATCATTGCTATGAAGCTGAGTGGGGTCCTCTACAAAAGGAGGTGAAAGCTGTAAATGTAGACACACAGCAGTGCTGTTTATAGTTTTGTTTTCTTTAAACACACCTCTTCAGTCGTATGTACTCAGTTTATTGTGGAACCTAAAGCTGAAGGTTCCCTTAGCAAGTTTAGATTTGAATGAAATTCAGCCATTTTAATTAGAGTAAAACTCTCTAAATTTCAGATGGAATGGAGCTCTTCTATTTATGTATCTCTTTTACAAGCAATTTACACCTTATTTGCATGGACAAGCTATGCAGCTGCACACCAGGAAAGGAAAAATACGTGGACAGAAAACTGTCTACACGGCTTAAAGTTTGATGGGACTGAAAATCCGGATTTTTTTTGTTTCCCCCTCCTCTGTTATTCACAGATACGCTATGGCTATCGTCATGGCTGTGCCAGCTCCTCCTCTCAGCAGCTTGAGGAAGAAAAGTAATAAAAAAGATGTTTAGCTGCTTGTGAATAACACAGTAAACGTTTTTTGGTGTCCAAAAGCCAGTCACAATGACAATATGATCATTTTATGCTTCTAGAGACCCCTCCTCCAGGCTATTTGAGTGAGGATGGAGAAACCAGTGACCACCAGATGAACCCCAGCATGGATGCAGGTAAGTCATCGTTTCCCATTTGCTGCAGCTTTCGAGGTCGTCTCAGAGACTTTTAAAGTTTTTCTTTAAAGCAGTGCGGCTCAGGTGGTGGCTTGAGGTATTTTATCCCTGTAGGAGTGCAGATGTAGCCTCACATCTCATGTGAAGCACAGGGTTGTATGTTTTAGAGCTGCTGGTGACTGGTACAGCACGTTCCTGTTCTCCCCGCCATCCATCATTAGGTACTACCAAGGAGCAGCGTGAAGCAGTGGACAGACAGCTAAGGATGATCATTGGTTTGGAATTTGTCTGATTTTTTTGGTTGTTTATGCACTGAAATGTCCAGTTTAACTGTATTTGAAATGGTCACTAGCTTTGTTTTTAAATGGGTTTATCAGTTAGTGGACATATCCCAAAGAAAGTTGAAAGTCTGGGTTTTCTTTCATTGCTGAGAAAACAAGTAACCAGGTTTAGAATGAGCAGCCTTAGTGTTTGTGCCAACCTGTATCGAGACCTTAAAATTAAACATGCAGGTCTCACCTTTCTGGGAGTAACTTGGCTTGTGAGTAAGAACCTCTGAATCAGACTCTGGATTTGTAAAACTTCTGCTTGAAAAGCAAAATCCCATCCTTGGTTGGAAGGGGCTGATGCTTTGCACGAGAGAAATGCCAACACATAGCACTCACATAAAGATAGACGTGCAGAACCTAATTAATGCAAATAGTACACAAAAATACCTTGGTTTCCATGCGTGTCTTCAGCCGTGGAGCGTACACGGGATTCTAAAAGAGGGATGCCTGATGTGCAGTCTTTCGCCGCGGATACGCAGATGGAGGAGGGCAGTGTGGGTTGGTTTGTCTGCATCCACCGTGAAGCTACTGACACAAACCATTCTAGTGCATACAATTACTGGTGGCGTGCTGGTTGTTTGGAATGTAGGTATGGCTTTTTGGGAAAGTGGACGCCAATAGGATTGGTCTGGAAGGTGCTGTAAATACCCACTTCATATTCAAATGCTGTGTCGCTTCCTTCAGATGTCACAGACTTCCTTCTTTATAGAAAAAAACCCCACATTTTAAAGAAACCAGATCAACTCAGCGTGAGAGAAAAAAAAAAGGGCTGTATCATCCCTGTGGCATCCAGAGACTCTGGAAATTGCTCTGGGCATCCAAGTGCAGATATTTGAAATACGTGCACAAAATTTGTGGACAAAATTTGAAATGATTGGGGATAAAAATACTGACAGAAGTAAAGAGTAATCAACAAAATGAGACTGAAGTGAGAAGTGGGTTGTCCCTCCAACAAGCCTGGGCAGCACCGAGGGTTCTGTGCAAGTCTTTTCCCTTGTGCAGATGCATTACTAATAATTATAATGTCTTGCTTTTCAGGTTCTCCAAACTTATCACCAAACCCGATGTCTCCAGCGCACAATAATCTGGGTAAGCTTGTGATCTCGAGAGCTGTGTGTAATTACTGTCAGGATAGTGACATTTTAGTGATGATGTGATTTCTTGAGGTTGTGAGCACTCTTGATGGTCCTTTCCACTAATCCTCTTTACCGTGGTAACAGCGGTTCTTAGTAACTTGAGATGAAATAAAGAAATCTGAGCTTACTTCAGAGGGTTAAATACAAAACCCAGGAAATACTGGCAGACAAATGCCAGAAAGAATGAGTGAACAACTGCAGCAAAAGTACACTTGTCTGATTACATGAGTTTGCAGGGAGTATGTCCATCTGCTTTGCTGCTGGTTTTGTGTTCTCATATTTTTGAAGGACACAGATTGAGGTTAAATTTTGTCTCTTGGAAAGTTACTCTGTAAATGTGAAGTGCTTACCTGGTCTCTTTTACAGTGTATCAGACCTCCTGGTGTTTTTCTAATATTTATTAGCTTGGTGTTACATTCACTGCGAGTCCTAACAAAACCGAGTGCTGGGATGGTGTCAGACCACGGGGTAAGGCTCCCTGAGGGGCATCCCCAGACCACACAGGGACAAAGCAGCGCAGAGCCCTCGTGTCCCAGTGCTGAACCACTGGAACAACTGGTGGCCCAGGTGTGTAAGGTGTTACTGTGTGAAATGGAGCACGGTCTGAGCAAAGTGGGGGATGTTGTTGGTTGGTGTGTGGTTGGGGAGTCCAAATAAATGGAGAGAGGGCAGGAGTGCTCGTGTATGGAGAGGTGCAGAAGTCACGGACAACCTTACTTGACCAGTTGGCCCGATGGGTTTCTTCAAGCAAACTCAAGTTATGCTGCAATCTTGAGTTTTCTTCCCCCACCTGACTCCCTCCTGGGCTCCAGGAAGATGCCCCAGCCCTGATGCTGTACTGGACCACCAAGCCACTGATCCACACCATAGCCTGGAGACAGTAAACAGGAGGAAAGCTGAAGAGGGAGGAGTAGCAGTTGAACAGGGCCTTTAACTCTTGAGATGCTCTTAGAGGGTTTGTGGCTACCTCTGAACCTCTGTTATTGTCTCAGATGGCTCTGCCCTTTATTTTCATCCCTATAAAAGCTCTGCTCTTCAGCAGTTTGAGCTCTTGCCCCGTTTGAAATCGCTCTCAGCAGTCTGTCGTAACAAGCACTCGCAGCTCTGGCTGCAGGGTCGGTTCTCTGAATGTTCATTATCCAGCAGACAGAGGCCACTTGAGATTACTCTTGAATAACCATAGCCATAAAGTTTACATATGCTTTTAATCCTGGCACAGGGTACTTTGACACAGCTCCAAAATTTGTTACTCATTGGCTGACTTGTGGATATCTTGGGGCTGTTGAAGGGGAGATTTCTTTTCTCTTCTTTTGTTTTTTTGGCCTTTTTTTCCCCAAAGCATGCAATATATTGCCACGATGCCACTAATTTTTTATTTGCTTTAACCGTTAAAAGCCTAAGAAGGTAATACATGGCTGACTTATTTTTATTCCCTTTTTCCCTTTGAATCCTTGATGCTCTGGTGTGCTGCCTGGGAGCTGATGAGAATTTCGAGCATTTTTATCTTTTGTCAACCTAAAAATAAAAAGCCAGTTACATGTAACTAAACCAGCCTGGCAAGTTGACTGTGGCATCTGCCTTCCATAAGGAAAAAGGAGTTTCTAGGAAAGAGGCCCCGGTGCACGTCCTTTCTAGGGAGGACACCGGGCATTGACACATGGTGCTCAGCTGATGGGCCTCGCAGATGCCTCATGTGGTGACAAAAATTAAGTAGGAGCAGGTGAAGCTGGTTAACCACAAGGGAACTCTTTGTAGTCTAAGGAGCAGACAGCAGAAAAGCATTGTGACTTAGCAGCGTTAAAAGATAACTTCAGGTTTTGCAGACAGAGTCACAAAGAGCCGAAAACACAACTGTGCAGTGAGGACAGTGGCCAGCGAGCTCTCAGCAGCAGAGTGCAGGCTTAACAAGGGAATTTCGCAGCCCTGATGCCTGCTCATTTGACCGGAGCTACCTGAAGCTTTTCAGACAGCTTCCTTTGTGTGAGCTGGACTTTGGACTCGGATCCCGTGGCCGTATTCCCGAGAATGACAAAGGCAATAAAGCAGCACGAGGCAGAGCAACCAGGACAGTGAAGCAAGGTTTGCTTGAGGTGCAGCGCGATTATTTCGGCATGAAGCTGTAAGAACATAAAACGAGGTTGAAGGAACTTGGGGAGTTTTCTCTTCCTATTCACAGGCGCAAAAGTGTTGCAAGGGAACACATTGGGGTGTTTTTGTCTCCTTTCATCTCGCTTGATTTGGTAGCATTTTGGTCCAAAACTTCACTTGTCGAATTGTCAGTTGTCCCACGTAAGCTTTTAAATGGGAGTTACAGATACCCAGTGATCTCTTCTGTGTTACTGAAATGGGAACTGGGAAAAACCACAGAAAACAGCCCGAGTGGAAGGAGAGCTGCCAGCGCTGCGTGGACACGGGGAACGCAGCCGGGGAGTTGACGCTGGCCGCGGGCCAGGCCTGAAGTTCGCGTGCTTTGTTATTTTGGAGAGAGGTGGGCCCTTGCGCACAGGAAATCCATCGTCAGCGCGTGCTCCGCTAAGGACTTGACGTAAGAGCTGTGAGCGAAGCGAGCACGTACCCTGCAGTCAGGCCCAGCACAAACACACACCCCCGTTACTCGCTGTGTTGAAACACCATTTCCCTAAGCGGTGAAAAGACGTACAGCGGGGCAGGGAGGGTGCACACCCATTTATCTACTTGTTTTTGAGGGAGGTGGAATTAATGTGGCTGGAATTAATACAATTGGTATATAGATACATGTGTCAGTAACTTCTGATATACGTTGTGTATCAGATGCATTAACTGAAGCTGGGATAACAACCACTCATATGTGTAGAGCACGCAAGGTTGGACTTCTCTGGAGATGATTCAGGCAGGATTTGTTGGTTGTAATGCACTGTGGTTTAGCTGGTTGTGTACCCCCTCAGGATTGGCAGAGCTGCGTTTTCTTACTTGTCCCCAAACAGTAAATCTATAAACTGAACACAAATATTCAGGACAGCTGTCCCACAAGAGGTAACTCACAGAATTCCAGGATGTGAGGAGTTGGAAGGGCCCTGGAAAGCTCCCCCAGCCCAACCCCTGCCAGAGCAGGATCACCAGAGCAGTCACACAGGAACACGGCCAGGGCTTTGGGTGTCTCCACACAAGGAGACTCCACAACCTCTCTGGGCAGCCTGGGCCATGCTCCATAACCCTCACACTCACAAAGTTTGGCCTCATCTTCAGCTTGAACCTCCTGTGCTCCAGCTTGGGACCATTGCCCCTTGTCCTGGCATTGGCCATCCCAGAGCAGAGCCTGGCTCCTTCCTCCTGACACTGCCCTTTCCCAATGGATCCCCAGGAATGAGGGCACCCCTCAGTCTCCTCTGCTCCAAGCTCCAGAGCCCCAGCTCCCTCAGCCGCTCCTCAGCAGGAGATGCTCCACTCCCTCCATCACTTTGTGGCCCTGCTGGACTCTTTCAAGCAATTAACTCCCCCATCCCATGGCAGCCTAAGGCCACAAATCACAGGAGAAGGCAGCCTCGTTAAAAAGCTTGGTTGCATTTTTTGGAGACAAGTGTTTCTTTGCAACGGGGTTTGTTGGTTTGTGTCTTCCCTCAAGTTGCAAATAAGCCGGAAATAAAATGTGGGGAATCCACAGCTCCCTTGGGTCGCCACCAAGCGGAGGTGGTTTCTGAAGGAGAGGACCACGAACCCATGGAGAGCAATAGTGGCTTCAGGGTTCGTGTAACTCGACCTGTACCACTCTGAGGACATCGCTGAAGGATCAGCAAATGTTGGTGTGGTTTTTCTGGAGCTGAGCAACCTTTCAGTGTAGTGATAAAACCAGGGGTAACGGTTTTAAACTGAAAGATGCTATAGTTAAGGAAAGAGATAGTGAAAGAAGCTTGGAATGGGTGTAAGCTCCAAAGTTCGCAGACTTTGAAGATCTGCTCGGGGTTGCAGAGTTCCCCAGATGCACTTTGATTCAGTTCCTTATTTGCTGTCAGCGGAAGCAGAAACCAAAGGGGTTTTTCCTGGTTATTGGCGACTTTGGGAGCTCACACACCACAGCAGTGGAGAGGGAACCAGCGTGTCTGTGGCTGAGGCCAGGCTGCTTCAACCTGGTTCTGAAAGTTACGGAGCAACAGCAGATACCAGATGAGAAATGACTGTAGAGACACGGTCTGCAGTGTGAGAGGAGACTGGGATGGTAGAAACCTGCCTTTGATCTTTAAAGCTGATTTCTTAAGCCCCAGGTTTGTCTAAGCCTTGCAGGAGTGACAGATGGGAAAGCCCATGGAAAAAGCTGGGGTTTGCTGCTCGATGTTAACTCTTTGCCCATTAGGGGAACTGTTCTGGTTCGCATTTCAGCATTTAAGACAGCTGAGTGCCCCCACTCACCCTGTGACCGATACCTTTGCCTATTTGTGGTCGTTCTGTGTTTCAAAAGCCTCAGGGTGATGTAACCTCGCTGTGATCCATTAAAACCTGTCAAGTAATTAAAGCTGGGTGGTTAAAGTGAGCCCGAGGAATGAAGCAGAACAATATTTCAGACATTTTTCATCCCCTCCCTCGGGCCTGTGCTGAGTTTTGCTGCTGATTCTGTGCAGATCTGCAGCCCGTCACCTACTGCGAGCCAGCGTTCTGGTGCTCCATATCCTACTACGAGCTCAACCAGCGAGTGGGGGAGACTTTCCACGCCTCGCAGCCCTCCATGACCGTGGACGGCTTCACCGACCCCTCGAATTCGGAGCGCTTCTGCCTCGGGTTGCTGTCCAACGTCAACAGAAACGCGGCGGTGGAGCTCACGAGGCGCCACATCGGTAACTCCCTTTTCCCCGGTTTCTTCAGTGTCCTTCGAGGTGGAGACCTGCGTGTAAAGGTTTTTGTTCACCTCGTCGGCATTGCAGCTTGGTCAGGTTTAGAACACTGCCATGTTTCAGTATCCGTGGTGTTTTAGCAGGTTAATCTTCCACGTGGGTACACTCGTTGTATTTTTTAGTAGTAGTATGATTAAAAAATGCACTGAGGAACACTAAAATAGCTGCAAGTAATAGAGACATGGAATTTAAACCTTTACATGCACTCCTCTGAACTGTGTGTGGACGGATGTTAGTGCTGATGTGGGGTGTTCCTGCTCCCTTCTGCACTGGTTTATTTTCTAACTGCCCTTTTATAAATGGAAACTTAGTTCCTTGGTCTTCATCTCGGCTTCCACTCTTCCTGCTTATCCTGCAAGGTAAAATTCAATTTTGTTTTCAGTTAAAATTGCACCAAATATCCCAGATTTATGCAATTCTAATAAAAGGCAAAACTGCTTATGCTTTGCTGTGCTTTCTGTTGACTTCTACCAAAAATGAACCTGCTTTTTGTCCTGATTTTGCTCCCCTTTACACCCTTTCCTGAGCAGTAAACTCTCATGCAGGAGGATCTTTCCTTACTTGTTTTTAATATGATTTTTAGCACCAAAAAACCCACCAAGATTCAGAAATCAGTCGTTAAATTCAGCAGGTTCCTTGTGCTTTATGGCAGGATGAAAACAAGATACCTGAGTAGAAATGCAAGACCACAGCAAACGTTTATTTGAGCAGCAAAGATGTATTCCTGAAATGTGTGTCTCTGTTAACTGAGGTTTTAATATTTTGTGTGCACTCCTGTGGGAAATGTGTGTCCGTGTGTACAACATAAACTCAAGTGAAAGGCAATGATTTGAAAATGTCTCATTTGAAATCACAAGGTAAATAACACACAGCTGTATCCAGCTGTGATGACTTTCAGAAAAGGTTGAAAAGCGTACGTGAACTGATAGGAGGTTTGTATGGAAAATACTGGATGTGTGTTTGGAGTCGGCAGGCTGTCTGGTGCACAGGTTCTCCACCAGCTCTTCCTGCCATATTTGGGGATGCCTGTTCAAAGCTAACCCAACCTGTGTTTCCCAGGACGAGGAGTGCGGCTGTACTACATCGGTGGTGAGGTGTTTGCCGAGTGCCTCAGCGACAGTGCCATCTTTGTCCAGTCTCCCAACTGCAACCAGCGCTACGGCTGGCACCCCGCCACCGTCTGCAAGATCCCGCCAGGTAAGGACGGGCCCCGGCTCTGAGCCCTTCCCAAAATCAGATTGCAGTGGAAAGTTCAAGAAGGTCAAGAAGGACAGGAACTGCTTGAAAGAGTCCAGCAGGGCCACAAAGTGATGGAGGGAGTGGAGCATCTCCTGCTGAGGAGCGGCTGAGGGAGCTGGGGCTCTGGAGCTTGGAGCAGAGGAGACTGAGGGGTGCCCTCATTCCTGGGGATCCATTGGGAAAGGGCAGTGTCAGGAGGAAGGAGCCAGGCTCTGCTCTGGGATGGCCAATGCCAGGACAAGGGGCAATGGTCCCAAGCTGGAGCACAGGAGGTTCAAGCTGAAGATGAGGCCAAAGTTTGTGAGTGTGAGGGTTATGGAGCATGGCCCAGGCTGCCCAGAGAGGTTGTGGAGTCTCCTTGTGTGGAGACACCCAAAGCCCTGGCCGTGTTCCTGTGTGACTGCTCTGGTGATCCTGCTCTGGCAGGGGTTGCACTGGGGGAGCTTTCCAGGGCCCTTCCGACTCCTGACATCCTGGGATTCTGTGAAAGGAGCTCTTTGTCCAGGCAGGCAGGGATCTGCCAACCTCCATTCTTGACAATTATCAGAAATTTTCACCAAATCACCAGCCAGAGCAGGGCATTTTATTATCTTTTAGCATACAGGATGAAGGCACTGATAAAGGAGCTGTTGTTTGCACTGCAGTCATACAAGCAGGAGCAAACAGCGCTTCAGGATCTGAGCAGAGCCAAGAGCAGAATCTGCCACTTGCAGCACATTATCAGTCCATTATTGCATTGTACTTACCTGATAATCACATTTCTACCTAAGAACATAAGACATTTTTCCTACTTTAGATTCACCCATAATAGATTGAAATTGTTACTTTTATTCTGTTCTGTAGTAAAACTGTTCCCCCTCCTTTGTGAATTAGTTTTACTCCAGGGAAATTGCATTTGCAGGCACCGTGTTGTTCTGGTCGCAGCAAATCTAAGTCTGAATATGCAGAAGCATTACAGGAGAGTTTATGCATCTGTCTAGGGAGAAAATACCTTTTTGTTAGGTATGTGCAGAAGAGCTGGGATGAGAGGATGCCATTCGGCAGGGAATTTGGCTGTTTAGGTTTACAAAAGCTAATTTTTCACAGTTAAAAAGTGTGTTTATGTCTAAAATCCAAACTTTTTAATTCCCTTCCTTGCCACAGCTCTTTCTCTGTGCCCATCCTGCCCCTGATGCTCTCACCTTTCTTGTTTTCCCTTCAGCCCCGGCTCTTGGGCTGTGCTCGTTTATGGTCACAAAAACAGGCAGAAAAGGAGCTGTTTCTGCAGCTGCTGAGCAGTTCCACTTTGCTGCGGGCAGCTCGCCCCAAAACAGATGACACCACGGGTCCAGCCCACGAGAGCGGGCTGGGGAGTGACTCCTGAGAAAAACACAATTCATCGCAGGCCAAGGGGTTGTGTTTGTCAGACTTGGCCCGTGTGTGATCCCAGATGAGCGTTAGCTGCGTGCCAGGTTTGAGTTTAACTTGTTTCTGGTTATCTGGGAGAAAGCAAGCGTAGCAACACTTTTATAGGAGTTGTGCATGTATCTGTTTATTTATTTATCCCAGCTATGGCGGGTGTTGCTCTGTTTCACCTTTATCACCTATAAACAGCTGCAGTCTTTTAACTGGGACTAAACATTGGGGAAAAACCCCCAGTTTTAAAGGACAATTCTCTGGCATATGACAGTTAAATGTAAGAGACTCTTGACAGCAGAAGCAGCTCTGCTGCCAGCCTTGAAAACCCCAGAACTGGTTTCTGGCTTGCCAGAGGGGTTGCACTGCAGATTTTCTGCATTACTTCTGCTGATGGACACCACATAAATCCAGCACCAGAGTTCCTAATTTTATCCTGAGCATTCCTTTCGTTCAGGCACTGTAGAGAGTTTCGTTGTTAAGCGTTATGGTCATAGTTAGGCTTTTAAATTACAGTATGAGGGAAATGATTATTAAGGAGATAGGAGGAGGTTGTACAGGAGGATCCCAAGTCTGGTCTCGTAAATCTGCTGTATGGGCACTCGCACCCATCGTGCTCTGTCCTGTAACGTGGTTCTCTCCCTTTTTAGCATAGAAATGTGGCAACCTTGGTTCCTTTTCTGAAACGCCGTGCTTAAATAATCTGTGTACAGCACATTATTTAGAATTATTTATAGCGTGGTCTGAGGACATGGGAAAGCAGCCTTGAGTTGCTTTCCATCCTCAGAAAGAAAAGGATTTCCTAATCTAGCTAAGGTGAAGGTTAAGCCTTGTTCTCGTCGTGTTCTTTTTTCCACAGGCTGTAACCTGAAGATCTTTAACAACCAGGAGTTCGCCGCTCTCCTGGCTCAGTCGGTGAACCAGGGCTTCGAGGCCGTCTACCAGCTCACCAGAATGTGCACCATTCGCATGAGCTTCGTCAAGGGATGGGGAGCAGAATACAGGTCAGCCTTTCGTGTCAACTACACCCCAACCTCCTATTGGTGTCAAATACACCCCATGTAATACCATTAGAAGACCACATCACAGTGTTGTATGAACCAAGAGCTTGAGCTGAAGCACAGCAGATAAATCCAGATGGCCTGTGTAGGAACTATTACATTATTTTTCTTAAAAATAGCTGTATATTTGATGGTTTGAGTGTCTTATGACCACACTGTTATCAGGACAGGATCACTGTGAGTGCTTCCTAATAGATATGGGTTGGGTTTGATGCTGCTTTTATCAGGGCCTAATGGGATTAAAATAAAATCAGATCTGCTTGAACATTTCCATTTGGAAGAACTGTTAGAGCTGCTGCAAAATCATAGTTCAATCTCCTTATCCTTCCTTTAGTGCTTGCTATAGGGCACTCACTTAAATGTGACCGGAGGCAGTGGGAGAAGCAGGGTGACTGCTTTTCCCAGTGAATATTGAAGATAAACCAGGAGATGCAGTGGGGTGTGGTGTGTGGGATCGGTGGTGTGGTTGTTCTGACAACATGGGGACAGTGCAGACAGCGTGAGGGACATCGCCCGTGTTGGTGTTGCTTCACTTCAGTACCAAGCAAACCTCCCCAAGTGGCAAAAGGAGTGAAATCTGTTTAACAGTACAAAGAGGGGAGACGAAATTCGTTAGCAAATGAACGTCTTTTTATGAGAGAAAGCTGGCAAGGACTTAGGCCAAATGAGATTTTGAAACACTTCCTTGACTGTACCCTTTAAATCTGTGGCCTTATTTGAAAACGTGGGGGCAGTCCCTGCCTCCCGGCGCAGCAAAGCCCTGCAGCAGCTGGGGAGATGCCACAGCATCAGCTGGGGCCCGGGCCCCGTGCGCCGCTCTCCCGCTTTCCTCATTTCTGCAGATGTTTGGAGTCCATTTTGTTTAGAAATCGTCCTGCGCCCAGGCCAGAGCGATGGGGCCCTGGCGCGCGGCCACGGCTCGTAATGAAATCCAGACGAGCGTGACTTACGGGAAGGCAGCGATCTCATCGCGTCGGAGGCACTGAAACCCTGCGCTCGCGCTGACCGCACTCTCGCTCCTTCATCTCCTTGCCACAAAGCACTGCATGTGATTGCCTTTGTCAGAGCACGGTTATTTGTTGAACTGATTCACAGATGAAAACGTGACTGTGGGGGCTGCATCCAGAGCAGACTTGACTTTTTTTATAGGACCTGAGAGGTTTTTATGCTTCACCGAAGCCGACAGAGCGAGAGAGGTGCTCTGCTCTCCCTGTGCTGCCATCCTCCTGCCCCAGCAGCTCACAAAACACCCTTTAATGCAAAACACTGACCACTGAGT